GACTGGCCTGTAGTTCCCTGTGTCTTCCTTTTTTCCCTTTTTAAAAATGGGGGTTATGTTTCCCCTTTTCCAGTCAGTGGGAACTTCTCCGGACTGCCACGACTTCTCAAATATGATGGATAGTGGCTTAGCAACTTTTGACTATATGCCCTTCTTAAGAGGGACTACGGTTACCTTGCAGCAGGGCCTGGTCTTAGGAGTGTCAGTTTTAGTGAACACCTCCAAAGGTTTTGGAAGCCTTGGAGCGAATGGCTTCATCAAGGTGATCCTCTTCATCAGGAAAAGGCTGAAGAATGGATGCCATGCTGTTGTCCTCCTTTCAGTGCTACCAGCTGCTGAGGCAATCGCATGTTCTTCTACCCCACCCCTCCATGATCCAGTGAGACAAATTGCTTATTTGTTGAAGAGATTAGTGAGTGGTAACAAAGGGTGTTTAAGAACACACAGTAATTAGAGGTGGTCTAGTATATTAATAACTGGGAGTGAGGGGAATAGTATAAGATCTTGCCAATGAATCAGTAAGGGGGGAAACTTCACTGTACAATGGTGGAAATCTATACACCCAACAACACACAGCGCTTCATCTGCCCAGACTATCACAGCTGGAAGGTCTCTCCTGAGATAATAGTTCTATCTCTTATTCGTGTGAAATACAAATTCTTTTACCACTCCCCGCTCTTCGGTTCTGACAGGCAGAGAGGACCATTTCATCTCCTTTGGCCATTCAGTTACTGAACACCCCTATCCTCAAGGACAAACTCGGATGCAAAGGCAGCATCAGTTTAAGCTCTATTTGTTCTATAAATGTACTCATCCTAATGAAAGGCCTTGATAGGAGAGAGCACCTTATCTTCTCTTCAAGAAGCTTTTAAAGCAAGTATAGAAAGCAGAATTAGAGAACCTATCCACTCAAACAAAGAATAAATTTTATCTGGAAAAAAAAACCCACCTGTGTTTTTATTTAGAAAAAAATACTCACTGGTGTTAATATTGCCAAGAGTTTGAATTTAGGATGGATGGATTTGTACCACGAGAGAAAGGGTACCCTAACCTGGGGGAGAGGGCAGCGAGAAGGAGTAGAAAGTATAGCAGAGTATCTGGAAATAAAACAAACTTGAATGCAGAACACCAGTTCTGGGAAGGTTTGGAGAAACAATTTGACTTCCTGGCTTTTTCAGGATTAAGAGAAAAGACCCCTGACAGCACAAGAACAGCATAACTTGTTCCTTGCTTCGATGAGCTCCAGTTTATACAGCATGATTAAAGTTTTCCTCAACAAATTTTGAGACTTTCTTCCATCAAAATTTGCGCTGGCTATAGTTATAACTGATATGGCTGTGCAAGCTATGTCTCTCAAAATTCAGAGCAATAGGAACTTTCTGCTCATTACTGCTTTATTCCAATAGGTACCCCTTCCACAACCCTCTGCTTGTCGTGCCTTTGGTGCCCTTCTTTCGGTACCTACCTTTTCCCAGGCCAGAGGTAGCCCCTGTGATCACAACCACTGCTTCCTGGAGGTAAGCTCGCATCCGCATCCACTGCAATAGCCGGAAAAGGGCGAAGATCCCCAAGCTGCCAAAAAGCAGTGGGATGATGACTGTGCTTGTGAGATCCATGAGTTTTCCTTTCTGAACGGTCTTCCTAGAGCCACAAGATGAAAGGAAACAGACCATTTCACCATCTAGAAAATTAGCAGAGGCTTGAAAACTAAGGAAATCTTTTTTCTTAACCCTGCCTTAGGCCACCAATAAACCAAATCCCATGCAGAGGTACCTTCGACAGATTTCCTCATCCCTTCATTTAGACTTTCAAAAGTTCACATCAGTACCCAATTTTAAGCATTTAAATGCTAATCTGAACATCCCAGCAGGACACTTGTGCTGGATCTTGTCAGCTGTCAGCTAACAAACTTGGGTTCAGAGTTGCTGTTCTCACATGCTTTTCCATTTTGCTCTAGATTCATTCTCTTATACAAAGTGTATTTAGAGTGGAAGCTCCTCAGAGCTGGGGTATGTCTGCATTCTTCTGGTTGTAGAAAAACCTCTTAGATTTCTCTAGAACAGCCAGTACCACAGTATCTACATGCCAGAGACCAGTTACTGTGTATTATCCCAGATGGATATAAGCCAGTCTATCTTCTGGAGATGCAGAGCAAGTTTTCTCTCTGAGCACGTTATTTGCTTCATGCACTGAAATCTGTGCTTCCATCTCCAGGGCCTTTCACCACCCGTTAGCAGAGACAAGTTACCTGATTTAAATGAACCACATGTCCAATCCAGTAGGCTAACGCCTACATTCATGCTCTTTACTTTTATGCCAACATTAATTGTGCAGTTTAACAGCATAAACTTGTGTTCTAATATACTGAAATTAAACCTGTGAATGAAACCCAAGCTAAAGGTATCTACAAGACCTAGCTCATCCTGGAACTGGACTCTGATACCAATGCATAGCTCTAATCTCCTTGCTAAGCCGTTGCCTTCAAGGGAGTAGTTTATGTTACAGCTTACTACATGGCCAAGAGTAAGTGATACTTCTGCTGTAAAAAAGGTCACTAATTTTCCCACTGTATATAACCCCAAGCTTTTATGCTTGATGTCACAGTAAAGTCAGTTACAATCCCTTCCTGGAATCTATACAACTTTTGGGGCGCACATAAAGTCAAAACGAAATATTAGTATATCTTCCCTGTTGTGCAGGTAGAGTTTGAACTCTTGCAGTTTGACCTGCAAGATCGGCCTTTACCAGGAAGATCCTGGAAAGGTCTGGGCACACAACCCATAGGCTACTTCAAACAAAACGACAGCATGAGTAGCAGAAACAAGAGGTAACTAATAATGCTAAGCCAGAATTCGGTGTTGTTAAGCAGGACTGAGCTCGTATGGAGCTGAAGGGATGACAGAGGCTCTACATGTCGTGGGACAGAGCTAATGGGGAAAATGCCAGGCTCTTCCCGATTTCCATTCAGGGGCTTGGACAGAATTCGTCAAGTAGCTGGTCAGTGAACAGACTAGCTTGCTGAACCAGTAGTGAGTGAACTGTATAAAATAAGTATTTCTGGAGGTATAGCTAGAACACAATAAAATACTGTGCATAACGCAGCTAGACACCCAGGCCACAAGCTCCCCCGGGCATAGGGAGCTTGCCCAAAGTGGGAAACCAGAAACCCGAAAGGAGGATTAAACTCATTCCGTTGCAAAGCAGTGCATGAGCACAGCACCCAGCTGCTCAGACCAGCGTCTTGTTCTTCCACCTCTTTGTGCTGAGTGCGCATCAAGAGTGTGTATTTTGTACTGACTTACAGCAGAAGACTGGTAGAGCTGATTTAACATAAGAGTGCGTATCGCCCCTAAAATAATTCCCGGGAAAGAGCTGTTTAGACACAAGGCCACTGGCCTTCTTTAGGCTGGATAAGCAGGAGGTTCTCCTTACTGGTTCATGTTCAGCTAGTCATTTAAAGCAGCTGCCCTCTTTATGTTGTCCCTCTTTTTTTTTTGCTCTCAAAGGTCTCCTAAGACTCAGAAGACACGATGTGGGCAGGGACAACAGGTGCTGTGCTGACATTGAGCAGCATGGCTTATAGGACATTTTGGTGTCAAAAACCTTCAGCTCCCGTTTAGGACCTTTTGTTATTTCCAACGTGGGAGCTGACAGGTGGAGTGGCACTTCCTTTATGAGCCCATGTTGAAGCTGAGGCATTTTAAAAATCTGGCCCTGACCAGCTTTGCTTCTGACTTCAGTAAAATGCAGATGACTGGGTAAAGCAGATGAAAAGGTAACTGGGAAGACGGGGCTTTGCTGACACCTTTTCTAACTAAACCACACTAGGGGATGGGAGGGGAGTCCCATGTTTGATTACAGCAAAGTTCTTTCACATTCTTTGGCAAAAATAAAGGTTGAGTTTGCAAGGACTGAACTCTCTGCCACGGGGGCTGGTGGAAAACGAGCCCCCATCTTACCAACTGAAAGCTAACCGTGTTTCGGTCAGGTAGCATCCATTGCTCATCAATATGAACCAGTTATGCCTGCTTAACTTATCCCTTAATCATATCACTTATTCATCTACTTTCTAAACCAAGAAGGTCTGCCTTTAATCCTTTTTCATTTGAAAAATCTTTCCTAGCCTTTTATTGTTTTTCTTTCTCTCTCTCCCCGCCCCCCCTCCCAGTTATATACAGGAACTGGGCAAATTGCCCAATCTCTGCCCTAAGGCTGCAGCAAGCCATGAACCCAGTCAGCAGCAACAGCCCACTTCTGCAGCTTCCACGACAGAGTTTGAATCAACAGGTCACCCCCTCTGACATATGGGGAGGGGAAATATGGGATGGAGAAGAGAAAGACTGGATGAAGGAGGGGAGCAAGAGAGAGGACTAGCCGATCAGAGGTGTAGATCCTTTTTTATTAGGGCCTACAGTTGCAGTACCTTCTTCCAAGGAAGGTACTCAAATGGCCCCTTAAAATGAGCCCCAGAACAAGGAAAATCTCTGTTCAGTCAGACTTGAGAAAGAGGACAACCCAGCTGAACTAAATCATTTTGGAAAGAAGAAAGAATTTCTGTAGCACTTTAGACCTACAGCAACAAGTTTTGCTTTGATTTCATAGACTAGCTTATATCACAAACCCATGAGTCCTTATTTTAGCCTGTCATATTGAACATGCTGGAAAAAATCATTGAAAAATAAGTATCAGTGGAATAAGAGAACATGGAAATCAGGTCAAGTTTAGAGCCACACTGCAGTACATTCAACAATATCCATCTTATGGAGCCCAGTGCCAGGCTACTGACACAACAGGGTGGCAGTTACGATCTGTTCAGTTTTCAGGGTTATTTGACGGAAAGACCAAAGGAAGGAATTGCTGGAACCTGAAGGAGAAGTTATATTCTGTTCAGTATTAGGGTTATTTGCTGCAAAAGCCAGAGGAAAAAACCTGCTGCAATCTGAAGGAGAATGAGATACATCACAGATAAAAAAGACTCGATTCCCATCAACAAAAATGTTAAGTTGCAAGACAAAGGCTGGGAGAAGAAGATAAAAAGCATAAAACCCAACTTAAGAAAGATAACACTTTGAAGTAGCTAAAGACATCCCAGGGCAGATAACGCCATGTCACGTTAAAGACATGGGGGAGGGTGGGGAACACATGGGTTTCCACACCTAATTCGAGATGAACCGGATATCCTCAGACCTCTTGCTCAAAGGTCTGAGACCCCACTATCGCCTTTCTTCAAAAATTTGGGTATTCGTGCTGAAAAAGACTGTCATTAATTCTTAACAGATAATGTTTATGACACCAGGCTATCAGCAGGAGAGAAGCCACTGCTCACAATCGGTTCAAATAAAGTCCTGTAATTCTCAGTGCTCCATCCCAAAAGGCAGGATTGGAACATGCAGGTTATTAGAGAGCAGAAATAAGAACACCGATAATGTAAGCAAATACAGGTAATTGGAAACTTTTTTAAAGGCTTACCATAACATAAATCACATATATCCAGTTAAAAAAACAACTGTCCCCTTAAAACAAAAACTGGATGTTATCCCGTAAAAGCCAGGACAACGACTTCTGAAGGAACAAGGATCTTTGTTAATAAGGTCAAGAGCGCACTAACGGCAGCAAAGATGAGATCAAGTCCTAAAAGAAACTAGAACCACCATAGTTTCCCTAAACAACACCTATTCTCCTTTAGCTTCAGCCACCTAGAATCACATTGTCATTTACATGACAAATGGCAGCAACTGGGAGGCTATTTTCAGAAATCAAAAGGTGTCATTTAAAAGGTGGGGGGATAAAAGGAGGGAAAAAAGTCATTTTTTCTAAGGAAGCCCTTGTCCAGAAGCACAGCAGCTCTAAGCTTGATTAGCTACCGACTTTCGTCTGAAGAAAGCACAATATCCTACCTTTGAAAAGAACTCACTTGCCAGTGACGCTGTGAGACGGTGTCTCCCTCTGGTCTTCTAACAGGACAGACCTGACTTAAATTTGGAAGTGGCAGCAGTCCAAGCAAAGGCGCTCTGTCCAATGCCAGCACAGCCAAGAACTGCCTCTAAAAACAAACCTCAGGAGTACGGTCTGTGACCTTTGAAATGTGGGGGTAATTTAACCCCCAGATTAAAAAGATAGAGGTGAATTCAAAACTTATGATGACCCTCTGATTCTTTCTAGTACTAAATAAATAATTTCTAGTATTGAATCCAGAGCATTCATAAAGATCAATAAAAAAAAAGGCAACTTGTGAATCAGTTGCAATTCTCTATTACTGTAATTAGTTTTGGGGCATACACTGATTTTATATGTATTTTTTTAATGGGTACCATGCTAATTAAAACAAAAAGGACTTTTTTCTGTCTTAAAAAAAAAGAACTTTGAGCACAACTGAACAGACGGATGAGTTTCTCATCACACTCTGCATCAAAACCCGGTATTTACTGGGGACATTCCCTCCAGCAGACCAAATTCACTAAATCCCTTATGAGCCGTGTTTGACAGGGAGAAAAGTGAGCATGACTTGCGTTTTATATCAGCTAAACGGTTTTACTGACCCAGCTGCTTTGGAAAGAAACTGAAATCAAACTTACAGACATCTAAGCCGGACAAAAACCAGTCATATAGCATTGTCTGTTAAATCAGTGATTTAATATACACCAATGGGAAATTTGCTGACAATTTCTCTGATGCGCAAGATCCCCATAAATGGTCAGTTAAACTTCAAAAAACTCATTCAAAACCCAATGAGAAAAAACAGTGATTACATTAATTCAAACAACTGAATTACTGAAATGCCAGTGGGCGCTTACAGGCTTACATAATCAGCTTTCATTCCAAACTTTATAAGCAGAAAATCATGTAAAAAATACACTGAGGTCATCAGAAACCAGTAAAACTCTTCAGAAGGAACGCAGGAACTGGACAGAGCTCCTCACTACAATACAACCATTTCAAACAGAAAACAGAGAAGGGGTTCGGGAGAAGGAATACAATAACCCAATGGGAACTGGCGAAGGAAATGATGGCAGCTGGTGTTACCAAGAGCGCCACGGCAGTGCTACGCGCTGGTAGGGCTCATTGTAAGTCGCTGCCAACAACGAACACGTGCTGGAGGTTTGCTGAGGGGCGGGTAAGTATCAGTTGTGATATTTTGAATTAAGTTTTTCTACTGCGATTTCAACAAGCTACCATCTCACAAGCGTTACTTGAAGCAACGCCTAGGAAAACCATCCGTTGTGTTTCAGTAGTCATTCAATGGCATCCTGCTTACGTTTTTACATGATTGTTATGCAAAACAATCACCTCGCCCCATGGTACGGGGCTGGGGGGGGGGGAATATGTTTCTAGCACCCAAAGAGCAGGCTGGAATTGAGAAATCATCTTCTCACAAATCTCTCTGCCGCTTTTATTCAGTTACAAGCTTCATTTCCAACCCTCCCACTCGAAAATCCTCTGTTGGTGTTTGGGACACAAGCAAAGGTAAATCAAAGTGGCACGATTAGAAAATTAAAATATTTGCCGTGCCAGAGAAAGTGTTTTGCAGACATTTACCAAATCAAGAACCACCTAAAACGCAGTGCAAAAATGAGAGTTGGCTTAATGTCTCTCCCCACCCTGATTTATATACAAATATGTATTTAATAGCTGTAACAGTGACGAACTAGAATCATAGAATCGTAGAATCATTAAGGTTGGAAAAGACCTCTAAGATCATCGAGTCCAACCATCGACCCAACACCACCATGCCCACTAAACCATGTCCCTAAGCGCCTCATCTACCCGTCTTTTAAATACCTCCAGGGATGGTGACTCACCCCCTTCCCTGGGCAGCCTGTGCCAATGTTTCACCACTCTTTCAGTAAAGAAATTTTTCCTCACGTCCAATCTAAACCTCCCCTGGCGCAACTTGAGGCCATTTCCTCTCGTCCTTTCGCCAGTTACTTGGGAGAAGAGACCGACCCCCACCTCACTACAGCCTCCTTTCAGGGAGTTGTAGAGAGCCATGAGGTCTCCCCTCAGCCTCCTTTTCTCCAGGCTGAACAACCCCAGCTCCCTCAGCCGCTCCTCATCAGACTTGTTCTCCAGACCCCTCACCAGCCTCGTTGCCCTTCTCTGGACACGCTCCAACATCTCAACATCCTTCTTGGAGTGAGGGGCCCAACACTGAACGCAGTGTTCGCGGTGCGGCCTAACTACGTACTTGAGAGCCCGGGGTTTCCCTGCACACAGACCGGGGGCGCTTTCACCCAACCTCTCACATTTGCCAGACTTTCAGCACTCGGAGGACCGCACCCGCCACCCCCGTGGGTCCCCCTGGGGAGATCACCGGCGTGCGGGCGGAGGTGGGCAGGCCCCGCGGCCAGCGGCGGTCACCGCAGGGTCA